TCTTTCCCTCTCTCTTTTCGAGCTTTTTTATCCCTCTGGCTGAGGCAGTGGAGTACACCTATCTCTTGTCCTGCTGCCGACCAGAGGGGAGTAGAGCCGGCTGCGGCAGGTAGAAGCAGCCCAGGCTTGGTGGATGCATTTAGTCGCATTCCTCCGCCATGCCGGACCGGGGCCAGAAGCGAGGGGGGGCTGGTATCGGCTCATGCAACCTATTAGACACCGGCAACTCCATTTAACTCCGCATGTCGAAGTTTGCATTCTCATGACGCAGCAGCAGTGTGGATGGATTAAAGGTATGAGCAGGATGCCCTAAGCTCACGACCCCATGCCATTAACTGGTAAATCCATATTGCACTGAGAGGACTGACACGGATTAATATTGGAGCGGATACATAAAACATGGGAGACCTAGAGTGTGGCTTTGAGGAAATGCAGGGAGTAAGACTTGGATACCTGCTCATCAAAGGCAAGCAAATGTTTGCTTTGTCTCAGGTCTTCACCGACCTGCTGAAGAACATCCCTCGGACCACTGTGCACAAGCGCATGGATCACCTGAAGGTGAAGAAGCACAACTGCGATCTGGAGGAGCTGCGAAAGCTCAAAGCAATAAACTCTATAGCTTTCCATGCCGCTAAATGCACTCTCATATCGCGGGAGGACGTGGAGGCTCTGTATTTCTCCTGCAAGACAGAGCGGGTGTTGAAGTCCAACAAAAGGAAAGCGAAAGCAGTGTGTTCCCCCAAGGATCCTGATGTTTCATCGGGTCTCCTCGGTACAGACGCCGAGCTGTGGAAGGAAAAAGTTTGGTTTAGTTTGCACGGTGTCCCGGACACTGTCACACTTCACAACAAAACGGGTAGGAGGAAAGAGCGGACTCCTTGCCTTAGGGACTCCAAACTACCTCAATTTTACCACAAAACGCACGGACGTGATTACTGTTCGGCGACTAAGTCCAGTTACAGACACTTTAAAAACTATGAAACAGCGAAAATAACAGGGGATTGTGTTACTCTGAGCCAAAGGCACGCCTTTTTCAGGAGCGCAATAAGCCGGCAGCCGGTGGTGCTTCAGTCCGCCATAGCTGCTCAGTCCCGGCTCTCGCGCACACCCGGCGACCTACTCCACAAAAGGAAGAGGAGGCGAGAGGGGGGCGGCGGCAGGGACAGCGCCAGGCATTCGTGGAGCAGGAGCAGGCACGCGCACCACCATGTACCACCGGTGCTGCTTGTACAACCCAAAGCATCCAGCGGTCACGGGACTTCGTTTGGTGCTTTCCATCTCGGTCCGGACTTATATCTTGACCCCAGACCTTACCACCACCATCACCACCAGCATCACCATCATCATCATAACCACGAACCAAGTTTTCTTGAGGGTTACAGCAGTGACACCGAGTCCAGCACCAACTCAGACCGGGCATACCAGGACTCGGACTTTGGGTCCAACTTCTCCACAACCAGTAACTCCGGGAGCTCAGAGGAGGAAGAGGAGGGTAAGGATGAAGATGACACGCAGTCAGAGAGTTCAGAGGTCAGTTCAGATGAGGAGAGAAGCTCTTCTCAATCTGACTCAAGCTCAGTCTCCAGTCGTGTTTCGATCCAGAGTATCCGCTTCAGACGGGCCCGGGTGGGTTCTCTCGCCAAAAGTCACAACGCCGATAAAGCGCCATTGGTCCTACAGCCCACGTTTCATTACAACCAGCAGCAACAACAAAAACAACTCAACACACTGTGCCATGTTGCCACTTCACAGACAGAAGACAGCAAACAGGAGAAACGTCAAAAATGTGAATTTATATGCAGTGAAATTAGAAATGACTTGGGACCCTTACAGCCACCAAAACTGAACTCAGCTGTTGTGGGAGGGAGGTCCCAAAAGGAAACGGCATCTGAGTCGGATCCAAACAGGGCTGACCCTGTGGATGAACCGGCCTCTTGTTCACCGGGACTCAACCGCAATAAGGGTTTTCACCCCTCACGCATGACACCGGTGCATCTCGCCAATTTCCCCTCGGAACAGAGCGCACAGTGTGACCAGGACAAAGACGCAAAGCTCTCCAGATATACAGACAAAGGGGAAGCAAAAGCCACCATCTTAAAACTACCCACTTCACTGAAAAACATAAAGACCGAGGCGGAGGAGCCTTCTGTAACCGCCAACCCCCACCCGGACAGCGACAGGGCTAGGACACCACCGTTCAACCTCCACAATGTAAAAGTTAAAGTGGAGGAAAGCTGTGATGAATATGAATACCAGACCCAGGCCACTGTAGTCAAATGTAAAGGAGATAAGGCAGAGATCAGCAATGGCCAGTATCCCAGCAGAGTCATCAAACAAGGGGACTTTTTCAACAGCGGGCTTAAAATCACAGAGAGCCATGAGGCGAATCAGGAGACCCCATGTGGTCCTGAAGAATGCAGGAGCACCCAAGATACACCACGTAGCGAGGAAGGGGAGCACAGACACAGCATTTGCAGGGCGCCAGTACCAGGGAGTAAAAAACCCCGAGTTTCCAGAACGCAAACAAAGCAAAATGTCCACAGGCGCAACAAGGCTGCCTCCTCCTCTTCGTCGTCTCGTCCCGAGGACACATCCACGGAGGATTTACCGAGCAGACGCAAACGCAGCAACACGAGCACCGTAGCATCGCCTGCAAAAATGCCTTTCAGCCTGATGGCAAATTTCCCATCCCCGCCGTCCCTAGTTCTTGGCATTGACGGGGATTTGTGTCCTGCTTACTCCATGAACTTGCTGAGGAGCCCCGGGCCTCCCCCTCCATCCCACCCCGTGTGGAGGTGGCAGCCAGGCGGCCAGATTCTCCCTCCCCCACATGCTCAGAGAACTAGGAAATACTGAGCTGTGTTTTAAGCAGAAAAAAAACAAAACAAAAAACTAAAGCCCTCACAGTGTCCATCTCCAGCCTAACCGTAGTCTCAGTCTTAAAGTAAGTCCACCAAATTGGCCTCAACTTCATCGGTGTATTGTTTTCGTCCCGTTTTTCCGTGAATGGATTTACATTCCGCTTTGTTTTCAAGTTTCGGGAAAGGGAGGAAAATGTACATGATGCTCTTCTGCAGCCTCACAAACCGCCCACAGGACTGGGAGACCGTATGCTTAAAACACTTGTGTTTTTAAAATAAGTTATCTGTCCTTGGCAACATGTTAGCGTTTCCATTCTCGGCCTGTTGGATTGTATGGTGTCTGCGTTTCAGCGTTTTGTTTTGTGCTTTGTCTGACAGAGAGTAGGGGGTAAAAAGAAATCTTTGAGATGAGACTGTTTATTGCAGATGTAACTGACCGTAAGTTTTACTTGGTGAATCAAGAAAAAAATATCAGGTTTTCCCATTCTGTGCCACTTGGTGAATTTTATATATCCAAGCTGTAATTTCTGCCATGACCGTCATGTTGACCAGCTTGGCCACAATGGCCCATGTGTCCAAATGTTCAGTTTCAGAGAATAATTAAAATTTAGTTTATTGATGCCTAATTATACATGCTGACACTTAAGTCTTTATTAGATTTTATATGAATTTATTCCTTTTTTTGAGCACTAATGGTTTGTTTTTCAGTCTTGTTTTCTTGTATTTCTACGGAGTCTTTCCTGGTTTGCAAATGTGTGGCGTGCACAAACACAGGCCTAGACACAACACGGGCCTTATGTACAGACAATCAAAAGAAAGAAAGAAAGAAAGAGGCTCAGATCGTCATAGCACGTCAAGTCCCACCGTAGACTCCATTCATGACAACTGGGCCACGGATTTCTCCATCATATTTGTGCCACAGTGAGTCTGCATTTGCGTTCAGAGCACGCACATAAGTCAGGAAAATGTAAAACACAGTGACAATGTTAGTTTATCAATGGGATGTGGCTCACGAAATAGAACCAAAACAGCTTCGGACTCCTTCTAGTTATACTGGCAACCCAGAAACAGTGCAACAAAGCACAAGCGATAGGCTGAAATGCATTGCACTTTGACACTTTTGGGGGTCAGCTTTAGGATTTTCTGACCAGCCTGTGAAATGATGTCTGAGAGATGCTGATTAAAACACACTAAAGACGAGTTTGTCTAATTTGGATGTGGCCACAAAGGACAAACTCGTTTTACTGCTGGTATAATTTAGCCATGTGTGAGTTTCTAACCACGGATGGTTGTCTGCCTGTAATTTAATGATATGCTAATTTCAATGAAGCCACTGCTGTTCATTATTCTATTTTAGTTGATGTCAGTTGTCTGGATCTGAGCTGGAAAAGCCTCCTTTCCTAGCATTAGTCAAGACGCCCAAAATACAATATTCTTTTATTTTTAAAATATCGCTTTCTTTATTTGCCAAATGTCACGATCTTTAATGTAGCCTTTTGAATATGGTCAGTCAGTGATTGCCCCAGGTCTGTTTCATTGTACACATCTATAAACAGCAGTAAATCAAGTGGTTGGAGCTGCACCTACATGTAGGTATTTTAAGGAACTGTGTAGATGTATTTAATGGCAGCACCGGACGCGCTCTGCTAATTGGCAGCCTTTTAATGCCTGACAAAGAGAGGCCCAGCTTGGCTATCTGGATCACAACAAACCCAAAGCCCATGGATGATGTCAGCCTTCTCAGAAACACTGCAATGGCTCATTCATTCAGAGGACTGGGGGAACTATTTAATGGGAGATTGTTAAAGGGGGAAATTTTTAAAAAAGGACTTTCACTCTGCCTAAATCAGTGTGAATACATGTTGTAGATGTTTAGCAATGTGACTAAATCACCATCCTGCAGCCTTGAAGCCCAAAGTCATCACAGGCCTTGTTTCTTAGTTCAATTTTAAACTTCTGTTCTCAATTTTTGAGGCTATGACACAAGCCAGTATATGAGCAGGCTCGCAGTGCAAGGGGGAGGGGGGGGGAGGGGGGCATCGCTGTGTTGCAGGAGCGAAGCTTTCAACCTTTAATCCGCATGTCAAAAGCATAGCTTGCACGGCGTAAGAAGGAGAGGAGTAGCCTGCAGCCAGAGCCGTGCGGGTTTGCCCCCCTGACGTACCAGCTCATTCTCACGCAGTGCTCACAATGCGCGGCTGAGGGACGGAGGTGGTGGTAATGGCCTGTTGGGGGGGGGGTGCTCTTCACCGTTAAGACAAATAGCTCTCTGACAGTGACGCTATCAATGTAAACAATTGCGTCGTGCAGCAGCTAGAGGCTGGTGGCTCTCTCCCCCCTCCCCCCCCCCACCCTGCCCTCCTCATTTACTTGGCTTTTTCGATGCTGTACTTGAGGTCATGTTTTTGACATGGCATTTGAAGTCACTGGTTGATTAGAACTGAATATTTATTTTTGTGAATTCCGGGGGGTTCTTGTAGGCCTATATTGATCATTTGTGTGAATATATCTATGTATAGGGCCGCTGCACTTGAAATGGAAACTTGAACGGTGGATTTCTAAAGCACTTTCCCTTTCTCTTTTTAATTATGAAGCATTCATTAAACGCGACTGAGTGTAATGATCAGGCTCTCTCTCTTTCTTTCGAGTTGGGCAAGCTTTGCTTGTTTTGGAGGGGGTTAAACAGATTTGATGGACAAGCTGGAGAGGGTTATGAAAACAAATAAGTGAAGTGATTTTTAAACTTTCTTTAGGGGATTTCCCTTTATTCAATTATCTCTTTATTTGGAAGTCCAGCTGGTGTAAATCTTTGATATTTCTTGCACCATATGTCATAAAATGTCATAAGTTTACAGTTTTCTATGAAAACTGAGTAACATCATAAATATTTCAAAGGAAATGTGGCCATAGGTTATGTTCAGTTAAGTAGCCCAACAGAGAAGCGTTTTGTCCTGAGGGTACGAGGTTTCGGGATCGTAAAGGAAATAGACCCCAAACAGATCTACAGTCCTTCTTCACATTGTGACCTGTTTAAACTAACAAGATTATTTAATGTAATGACCGATTGTTATTCCTAAACTATGGCTATAAAGACTCTTAAAGTATGGATTCCCATTCCCAGTGTATTTAAGGGGTGTGGGGCAGAAACAGGCCTGTAATAATAACAAGAGGCAGTCACTGAGGTAGTGCTCGTTGAACGCGTGAAGCCAAACCTCTGGCCCAACACTGAACCTTTGAGCTAAATCGATACTGTAGCATTGCATTTACAGGAGGCCTGTGTGCAGAAATGGCCAACATGCCGATAAACGTCAATATAAACCAACAAACAACTAGATAAGCCGTTAATCTCGTATGCAGAAGGCAAATCCAGATATACTGAAGCCACATGGGATACACATGAGCTATCCACGGCCACACCAGAGGCTACATGCGGCACAGGAAATTCGCCCGAAGGCGACTGGACCTCCAGAAATGTGCAGAATGCAACTTCTCTAAGAAGCTTTGAGCAGACTTGCCCTGCGCTCAGTCTGCCATGTATTGGGCTACGTGATGTCTCTCTGATTAATGAGACTCTGCCAATGGTCCAGGCCAAAGCCCCGAGGTTGACAAGAAGAGCCGGGGCTGTCGGGCTGTGTGGCCCCGGTGGAGGCTGCAGGGGCTGACACCAGTCACTGTGCTCCTGTTTCAGGGTTAGATCTCAGTGTAGATTCGCAATCACACTTCTGTAGAATAACAACAGAAAAAATACACGTAAAAGAACAAAATAAGCATTCATACATTTAGTGTATTTGAAGCTACGTTTTTCTAAAGAACTCGGCTTTTTAATGGCTGCATATTTTGGAAAACAATTATGGGTAATGCTGATAGACAGATGCCGTGTCAGCATTTTGCACAGATCATTCAGACAATTAAATTGTCAGGACGTTTAATCTCACACTTGTAAATTATTCCCCTGTCACTCGCCTCTTCACACTCCCAAGCTCGTAATATTTTATAGACTATATATTATAATATTTTGGTTTAAAAAAATAATAAGCAAAGAAATTCTTTGGATGTTTTGTAGAGAATCTGTAAAAGTAGGTGTGTTATCGCAGCCTTTATAGCAGCAACAATTTCTAAGCTTTTTGTTTGTAATGTAGACTACTCTCCCTCTCTCTGTGAGTGTGTGTGTGTGTGAGTGTGTGTGTGTGCTTTCTGATCTGTTGTTTTGTGAATACAGGAGTGTCTCAGCGAACAGAAGAGCCCATTAAATGAGCCGCAAGCACATACTTACTTTATTTGTCTTTTAGTTTTGTCACCAGGCAGCTTCTGCTGCAGGGCAATGTTCTGAATCATGCTGAAGATGGTCAAATAAACCCAATACATTCCCTTACGTAGCCTGGCTAACTTGGTGGAATAAGAAAACTCAGATATTATATAGTATACTGTAGCTATGATGAGCTTCTCCCGTGTGCACGCAGGCTACACGTTGCAAACCGAGCAACGTCAGTTCACTTGTAATGAAATGATAAAGGTTCAGCTTTTCACACCCAAGCCCTCAGCAACAAACCCTCAGCTCGGTGTGTGTCCTCGCATGTTGTGTAGGTGTGCCCCATTGATATTTAAATGCAACCCACTAACTTTTGTGTGATGCTGATGCTAAAGAAAAATACGAGACATTTTTCATATTAGATTATTGCTGTATATTTCTAAATACACTCCTTTCATGGGGCGAAGCACCGCGCTGTCCCCACGGGATTCCTCAGAGCTGGAAAACAAACTAATGGTGGAAATGGTACAGTCACCATCCATCCAAGTGCTTTAGTGTATTCAGAGATTTTTTATTTTGTTCAGTCCTGATTTCATACAAATGCTTGTTTGATGTAATGTTTACATAACTAAAAAACCTCCAAACGTTCCTATTTACACATTTCGGCCATGTCGACTTCATATTTTACATGGTCATCATTAGGCAACAGTGACACAAAAGCACAAAAAGGCTGAGGGATTGTTATACATGTTACCCGTCTCATCAGTGGCTACGATGGCGGAAGCAGCGCTGGGTTTCACACGACGCCCCGCTGCTCAGACCCCGAGTCAGGGGAAGCGATGGCGGCCAGTGCGGAGAGAAGGTGGGAACGTTTTGCTTTAAAAAAAAAAAAAACCCATTCAAACGGAAATTTGTTTCCGCAAAGTACCAACTAAAATGTTATTTGGTGTCCTGTTGGAATGTAAAGAACTCAAAGTGATTTGATCACATTAACCTCCCAGCACATAGTTAAACAGCGTTTCCAAACATGGAAGCACTAATACATCCCGTTTGGTTGGAGCATGTTGATATAATTATATAGGCCTGTCCGCGTCTATCTTATTTTATTTTATTTTATAAAACGTTTGATTAGCGAGGATGTCTTTGCCGACATGTAGAAACTGTTCTGTTTTTCTAGCCTGCCTGTGTAAATTGAACTGAAATGTCCCAAAGTGCTGAAAACGTGTTTCAGACCCAGGGAGCCAGAGAGCTGAAGTCTGAGGCTCAGTGGCCGGAGGGAGTGCGCGGGGGAAGAAGGGGAAAACCAGCACCGAAGGGCCCCGTCATGGAGCTCAACTCCATTTGTAAGCGCTTTCCTGCGGACAGGAGAGAGCCAGATGTAGTCAGTCTAATGATGGATGGAGGCTGTAGCAACTTTTGAACACAGTTATCGAGCCCGGTTCAGTTACGCACATTGGCCTCGACCAGTAACGCTGAATCAGAAGAAGGCATTTAATCCAACCTCTTCTCATTTAAGCTCTTCTCCTGTTATTTATCAACATTTTTTCCTCCTAAGGCCTAAAAATTATGTTAGTCACCATCTTCTGTTTTCTGTTGGTCAGCACTGTGCGCACAAGGATCATATTAGAAGGTTAACTGGGAATTATTCATAAGGTTTTGGGGAGAATTTATAAGACTATACAAAATAGATCACACATTTTCTATATTCACAAGGTTCCCATACCAGATAGTTGCATTATACATTAAAATTACTCTGTGTTTATTCAGGTCGAGACACTTTACTATAAGAATTATCACAGCGCACAGTCAGTGTGACATAGAACAAGGTTCTCAGTTGAAAAGGAGGGTTAAGACACGTAGACAACATCAACCCCATATCAATAACACGTCAAGCAAAATTAACATTTGACATTCCTGTTGTTTGCATTAAATGATTTAATCTGTTTCAAGCATGTTTCATCATTAACACCTGGTGTTTTTATTTCTTACCATATTTCTAAGGTCTGCTGAGCTATTTGTAATAATTCTTCTAAGAAATTTGATATACACTCCTATCTGTGAAGGCCTTTTCTAAAAGTTTTTTAAATGAATTTAGTAAATTATAAACTGAACCTTTCCTTCACGCACAAATCTCTGTGTTGAAAACTCTGATAGAAACACTTTGGCACATTGAAATGAATTTGCATTAGGTCATGTGAATACGTAGGTTGTGTTTCTGTTAAATAAATAAAAAAACAAATGTCCTAGAACTAGTTAAAATAAATTCCATTAAATGCATATTGTAGTTTATTTGGATAAATTGAAATGTCAGGAACAAAAAAAAAGAAATTTCTATTTAATGTCCAAGATCGACTGATTAAAACGTCCCACGGCCTGAAAACTAATATCTGGACACTGGTTCCTTTTATAAAACGACAGGTCAGTTGAGAACATTACACACTATAGGGGGATTTGAACACTGCCACAAGCAGCAGTGACCTTTGACCCCTCATACCAGGGAGTTGGGACAAGGGATAAGGAGCCCAGGCTGGAGCAGGGATAAAAGCCACCAACACACACACACACACACACACACACACACACACACAGACACACAGACACACAACAGAGAACTTCCTCCAGAGCTGTAAACACACTCATATAGGGGCACAACAAAAATGAATAAAACATATGTTCTTAATATACAAAACAGAAATAATCCCATTAATTTGACCCCAATACTGACAACTGATTAGTATATCAGTGCTCTCACCCCTTGCACAAGTAAAGAGATAGTCTCATTTTGAAACCTGCATGTCAAACAGCAGACAAATGAATGGGCCTGCTGCCTTGCTGCAGGGCATGCAGGCAGGAGACGTGATGTGTCAGAAGCAGATTTGAGTGGATGAGTTTCCCTTTCTTCTCCTCTTCAAATGAAGTTTCTCAAGTGACTGAGAAATATAATAGTTCTCTTTTTGGGGGGCTGTCTGGGCCTTTGGCAGATAAGGTTTCAGCCAACAGTTTTCAACCACTTCTTTAGATTGAGTGTCAGGATGTGAGACAAAGGGGACCGAGACTCAAGACTGGTTGTAACCAACTCCTTATTTAATTGACCTGTTCACAGCCAAATGAAAAATCGCTTGAATTTTCCTTCCTTCCAAAGTGATGTTTTCAGTAATGACATTTCTAACAGATGCTTTGCTTAGTCTGTTGGCTCGGTGGATTTTTGTATCAACATTCATTTGAATTTAAAATATTGGTTAAATTCCAGTCAGATTATTTTTCTAGACTAATGATCCACATTGTTTTTATTGTGAGAAAACCAATATTCTGAGATCTGTCAAATAACATTTGAATAGCGATGTTTGACTTGCATGTTCACAGTAAGCACAGTGATGACTCAGATGAATTAGCATCACAGGATTAAGTCTTCACTGGAAGATTAAAGGTTTAAAAGTACATTACAAACCTATGTGTCCTAATAGCCCATCGGTTTTCTTATTCTTAACATGTCAGTGGCTGTGTTTGAGCTTTCTGATACATTCATCCTCTCAGAACTGCGTCTTACTCTTGGTTTATCAGGGCCCTCCGGATTTTTTTCTGCATTTCAAGCCTTGTTTAGTGGTTGAGGGGCTTGTAAATAAATTGGTAAGTGCGGTGAACGAGGAGCAGATATACAGAGTTTGGGGCATATTCTTGTCCCTTTGTGCGCAAAGAGAAGAAACAGGTTCTGTTCTGCTTCTTGAGAGGATCATCACGCAGGACTGAAGAGCTTTTGTTCACTTAAAGCAGCTGATTGGATGACATGTTAATTCATGAACAGTTTAACTACAAGTTCGACTTTAGTTAATGAAAATAAAATGACAAAGATCATACGGTCAATTAAAGGAGGACTTTTTTAAAATATGAATCTATGTGTTATATAATACAGATTCGTTCAATCAATCAGAAATGCAATGTAAAATCGTTTGCAGAAAAATAAAGATATGTTAGCATAGCCACAGCAAACAACTACTTCAAATATAAAAAATACCTTTAGATGACTGAAAGATATGCTGGCTATTTGTGAAGAAAATGTAATAAACAAACTGTTAAAGCATGAAATAGTAGAAGCAAAAATGGGTTGAAACAAACGGTTTCACCTGTCTTTACATTTATTTTAAACATTCTAGTTTGGTCACATATTAGTTGTCTCTTTGTGCCAAACCTCCAGTTTTATTTGTGTTTCCACAACATGACGCAGAGTTTTCTTTTCTCGACCAGAGCTTTTGCTGCAATCTTCAAATATCAAACTATATGAACAGAAAACCTTAAAACTACACAATAGCTGATATTTAGGGGGTTTCACTGAAATGACCACTAACATGCTAAATGACCAGGGTATGTAAGAAATCTGTGGTCACCCCTGGACGTTGTTTAGCGATTTGACATGATTTACAAATGTTTGTTTTTTATTGAATTATTTTTATCTGTGCTTTTGGCTCAGATGTATTTGTGTTTCCTATGTAGGCCATGTCTTGCTGCCAGAAACCCTTTCAAGAAATTATGCTAAAATATCTAATTCAATTTGCCATAAGGGTAAATAGTCATAAAAGGTCGGATTAATCCAGAAAACCAAAAAATAATTTGGTTAGAAAAGTGGAAGTTGCAGTTGCCATGACTAATTTACTTGTTCGACAAATAATCAGGAACATTTTTTAAACCATTTCAACAACTTTATACCCAGATGAAGAGAACTAAGCGTGGCCATCATTTCGTTCTTTCTCAGAAGAACCTGTGTTGCCTGCAGCCAATAGTTATGGAGTTACCTTGGATGAGGTATACGCCTGCCTTCCTCCTCTTTTCAATGTATTTCTGCGTTTGCTTTAATGAGCTTCATTAGGTCACACCATTTTTCAGCCTTTCTATCAAAAGCACCGGTGGTTCCGGGCAGTGCATCAGTCTTTATTCTTCTGGAGTTTGTCTTTATTTTGCACAGAACGTTCGTTAACGCCCTACGTCCGGGAAGACATCTGGGAAACACCGTACAACCTCATTTCAACTTAACATATTTTCTTCTAAAAAAAAGTCCATATGACATTTGTACTGATCATTTTCTTGCTTAGGTTTTAATGGACGCCGATAAACGATCGCTGATGATAAATGATGCAAATAAAAAGGCGAGTGAATCGAGTTTTGGGTGTTTTTTCACCTTTATGTGTCTGCCTAAAATATTCTCATTAAAACATTTGTCTGTGTTCAGGATCTGTCCGCCTCAAACGACTTCCGTCTACGGAAGTCATTCGAAGTTTGTCGTTGTCTCCAGCGGACTGCGCCCTCGGTATGGGCGCGCACTGCAGGCGCTTACATAACGTTTCGGTTGAATGGGAGTCTGCTCTACCCAGCGGCGTAACGCTGATCTAGCAGGGGTTTTGTTTCCCAAAGATTTCGTTTTCAAGATTGTTTGTCAGTTGTATCCCCTCGTGCACGGCGCATTTAAAACACAGCACGCGCTTAATGAATTAAGCAGGTTGCTGGAGCTTCATTAGGCCCGAGCTGGGTTTTACGCACTGTCCCGACTACAAAACGTCATATTGATGTTCAGAGTTTGGTTAGAAAATCATCATCAAAATGTGATCCGGGGACCTCCAGGGGTCCTGGAACGTGCTGCAGGGGGTCCTACAGCGCATAAAGCGTTATGTGTTTTCGGTAAATAAAGTAAGTAATTGATTCACAAGGAATGACCTCAATATAAGACTTACATGGGCTTCAAATATCGGGCCACCCCCTATGAATGTTTTGTTTCCATATAATACAGATGAATCGATATTAAATCAACTAAACTCATCATTTATTTTTTTGGATTTGTCTGGGTTTCTGTGGTGGCATGAAGACTATGTGTAGTTGGTGTTTTCATGATCTGAAGACGTTTGCGACTCCTTGAGTGAAGAAACCAAACGAAATAGATCAAATACGTGCGTTGCTATTTTGCACAAAATGGGCAGAAAATGTGTCTGATTCCCCCTCTGCACCTCTCTCTGGCACAGGCAGCTTGAAGACATGATGCTGTCAGACAGCGTCCCCTGCTGGTCACATGCACACGTGGAAATTTTCTTAAAGGGGATGTCTGGTAAACCGGAAGAGGTTTTTAAGGTGGACCGCTGGAGTTAGCTACAAGAACAGATCGCTTTGTTAGAAAATGGCTCACGGGTCAACCTGGACTCGGACCAAAGACCGTTCCGACGTGTTTTTCAACCTGACAGCTCGGACGCGCGCTGCAAAAAGCGCGTCTGGAGAGTGAATTTTGTCTCGTGCTGGGATGATTTCATGTCCAGTTTAAAACGATGTTTTTATATAAACTCCCTGCAGTAATAACTTGGGACACAAACCCACACAGTTGAAAACTATTTAATCTTGCGTCAACCCGGGGTCATTTTACTTGTCAGAAAAAAATTCTAGGACTCAGAATAAAACCAAATGGCCAATAAGATGCGTGTGTCAGTAATGGACATTGCTTTAATGCCATAGAGAGGCTTCAGTTTGGATGAGGATGATCCAAGGCTAGTCCTGGCACCTGATTTCTAATGGCATAGTCTAATAAAACATATATTTGATTACCTGTGAATGCTTTTTTTAAAATCCTGTTTTGTTGTAAGTATTTATGAAAGAATATAAACCAGTCTCTGGCCTTCAAGTGGTACAAATGGGCTGCTGGGCAACATGAAATCAAATCACAAATGTGATTTGCTTCTTGACTTGACCTTCCTCTCACAAACGTAGGCTATTAGATAAATAATTAATCTCCTTCCTGTGATACAGTTTGCAAGCCTACCTGATGTGGGCGCCTGGCCAGGTCACATTGGGGCAGTTTAGTTTGACTCACTGTGACACTGTATAACAGCAGAATATTCCAAATCAACTATTTATATTAAACCTGTAGACAAAATAATAAACAGATTCTGTTCTGTTCAAATGCAGATTTTATTTTAACCTGGTAACGATTTTTCCCCCCATTAGGTCAAATTATTTTGCAGTCTGTCTGGGGGGAAAAGCACAGTTTAAACCGCAGCACCGGCCTTTATTTCCCTGGAAATAGTTTCATTTTGTATGGAAAATTGGTAAAACCCTAACCCCGGTAACACTGTAAAGATATACAGGTTTGTGCGACTGACTGGTTCCCTTTGTGATTTTCGCAGACTGGGGAGCTTAGACAATACATGCAACAAACAAAATTATGTTCTTTAGCCTAAATCATCAAACCACATGACGCCACACCTACGGAAACTACACATCACTAAACTGTGGCCATGAACCAAAAGGGTTCACACATCCTTTCTAAAATTCAAATACAAGAGTCCCACACATGCACTGTGACCCAGGCTATGGCAGGGATAGTTTACCTCATAGTGTCACAATGATTTTTCTGGTTGTTAGCATACCCGTTCAATAAAACTCTTCCGTCTTCACGACCCTTTTTAGTTCCTTCATTTGCAAACAGTCACCTGCTGTGTTCTCGCTTCCCGCATTCACACGCTCTGTGCATACAGTGCTTTTGTTGTCAGTGCACCTGCTTTTCTCCTGCTGTCCACAACTCTTCCCAGTCTTATACTTGCGCGTCCTCATCAGATGCGATCTGTGCATTCAGCTGCTCTCCTGAGCTTGGTGTCGCTGCGGCCTTTGTCCGGAAACTTTACGCATCCGACATGAATTGTGCTTTTATTTATACGTTCATTTCCTTGCATCCGTTTTTTAATATGTTGTCTGCGGCAGTTCATCCGCCAGGTCGTGAGGATTCGCCATGGTTCCTCGGCTGCTTCAATGCCAGCGACTCATCTTTCCTTTATACACCCAAGGGTGTCCATGACCTTGACCCGGTAACCTGCTCTGCACGCTGCCTGGATGACGGGTAAGTTGTGCGTAATCGCACGCAGAGTCAGTTGTAGTTCAGCTAAAACTGGTTTGGATATTTCTTGTGTAAAATGATGGACAAGTTCCACTTTTTAAGATTTCAATAATCCTGTTGCGACCATGTGATTCCATAAGACACAATCTCCTCTCAGAGCCTAGGAACAGGTAGTCAGTTAGACGCCCTATTACATTAAATCATTGGGTTGCATTGCTTTTCTGTATGTACGGTAGTGCTGGTTTATGTGTGAGCGCCATGTTAAAAACAAAGAAATTATTCATTCTAATTCTAATTATTAATTCTGTTTGTCATTGAAGTTACCAGGTTGCAGCGTTGACCTTAGAGAGCTGCTACTGTGGCAGCAACGCGCTACGTGGTTTGGTGGTCAGCGAGTGCTTCAATGCATCTCCAAATAAAGGCTCCAACGATGGCAGAGGGGGGAGTGAAAGACAAAGGTGAGACTGACTACTGCCTTGTGCTATCCCTCAGTGTCTCTCATGGCTTCATAGGTGTGTTTCATAATCAAGTGGCTGAAGGTACAAACAGGTTTCCTTCCCTTTCTTTTCTGTCCAGTGTTCTGCACTGGCCTGTTGGAAGTGGACAGGGGATTGTAGCACTCTACACAACCGAAGGACCATTTCTGCACAGCAGCATTCATCTGGTTATTTCTGCAGATATAGCGCAGGCTGGGAAGGCTTTTCTCATGGAGGTTTCTGGGAAACTGGCAGGCAGACCCAACCAGCCCACAGGTCAGTTGCTAAAGTATTTTGCACTGGTCTACTTTTTGGAAATATGACTCTTCAATTTGCACAGAGGTTGACTCTGGTGTTACTTTCTGATGAACACTTATTGATAAAGATGCTACTTAGTTTTGGTTTTCTATAAAGTGTTTTGAATTGTTGCTTAAATGAATGTAAATTCTATTATTGACTATATTATGTGTTTCATATTGTTTATCATTATTATTGATTATCCTAATTAGAAAAATAGGGTATGTGTGTCTATGGGCAGGGCTGCTCCAACTCTAGGCTGAATTTTAGGCCCAGCCCATTTAAAGAAAATGTATATACATGCAAAAACCAATCAAAGGCATTATACAAAAATAATGATCATAGATATTTGGATGTAATCTGGAAACAAGATACACAGAGTTTTGCGTTTAATATGAAAACACATGTTCTATTATTCTTTCAAGACAACTTCACATGTACAAATTAATGTAGTTAAAATATTTTAAAATGATTTATTTAAGAGTTTTTTTCTGTTAAAAAATCTGTTTACGCACAAAGAAAAAAATCTCAGGATATTTCATTAATGTTTGCACAATTTAAGAAATATATACAGCTTATAGGGACATTTTGTTTTACCTGTGATTCTCAGGGATTCTGAATGTGGGAGAGCAGGACCTCTCTTATGTTACTGTGGAGTTTCTGGGCATGACCCTGAAAACCCAGCATTCGTGTCATGTCAGTGTGTTGGATGATGGTTCTTTTGTTGTGCCATCTGAGTGGATTTTGGAAGCTTCAGGGAAATATGAAATCAATAAGTCAACCAGTTAATGATGAATAATCAATTAATTAATAAGAACACAATAAAACAGTTTCTCCCCTTTTTCTCTCTTACTCTGATACTTTCTGTTTAGACATCACTCATCAACGCCTCTCCACGCGTTCCTCCACACTCCATCTGTCTGTCCTGCAGCCTTCTTCAGATCACTTGGTGATCCCTATGCTCCATGACTCCCTGGGCACCCCTTCCTGTGCACCCTTCAAACAGACAGATTTGCACGGCATGGCCATGCAAGTAATGCTCCTGGGTGACCCTGTCACACTGCAGGAATATGTGGGTGAAGGTCTGGTATTCTGCTGGTGGTCTAATTTCAAAGAAAGAGAGGAAAACAAGGAAGCAGTGGGAGAGAGGATGTGTGTAAAGACAGCTTGTTGCATCCCCATCGCTGAGTGTTTGAACAGCACTTTGGTATGTAGGACTAAAATATTACTATGCATGTATCTCCAGCTAAGATTTTCAAATGTTGAAGGAGTCCCCCTCTTTTAAAGTGATTATTTACTACAAAGAATTTGATATATGGTAGTATTTTTACCGATCACAAATCAACAACACTTTAGTATCTAAGATAAATGAGGCAGTTTTGGCCTTAAATGATAACTAGATTCCAGCAGCGAATTAATTATGTTAAAAATCAGCCCATTCATATTTGCAATCAGGCCTCTTCATAAATGCCTTATTACAAAACATATTTAAAAAAATGTCAACTCTTCATTTTCAGCTGAAAACTATATTTTTGTCCTGCTGTCATTATCTGCTTATCAATGTCTTTTCATCTCTGAATGTCCAAAAATTGCACATGTTCTAAAAATAATAATAATAAAATCAAAAATAAAGGGCTGTTTGAAAACAAAGTACTGCATTTAAAACATAGGTGTTTAATTTACAGTAGGTTTGGCAAGAAAATTCCTGTTGAAAGTTTAGTTTAGTTTTTTATTTTTATTTTTATTCCAAGAAGCCAAATGTTTTATTGCAGAACTCCAACAAATCAGTTACATCAGAGACATTTTTGGTAAAGGTGACAGCAACTGCAGCAACAGCAGAATCCGAACCTGTAAATAACAGGTTAAAATTGATCAAATGCAACAACTTTTACTAGGGTTTTCTCATAATAATTTTGTTACTAATCTTTTTTATATTGTAGAAGTCAAGGGTCAACATGAACACTTCCAAAAAACCATTAGAACATTCATTCATCATCATTCAGCAGCATAATATGTTCATGCTTTAATGCATCTAAACATCCACAGAACCTGACTTTGGAAACAGAGGGAGTTTACACAGTGTCAGTAAGTGCCTATGGATGGAGACAACATATAATCTATATTGTGAGTAATCTGCTTTCAGTCACTGAAAATGTTATAATTATGAGGAATTAATGATCATATTTTCACACTGGTGATATTCACAATGTATCTTTTCGACCGATCCCATAAAAAAAGACCAAAACCAACAATGTATTAGTCTGTCTCATATAGTACAAATAAAGTTACATTTTAAAAAGGCTAAATCATTTCCTGGAGAACAGTGAAGTTTTACAGAGGAATAAGTTATATCAGGCTTTGTCTAAACAAGCACTATTAGTGATAAAAGTATGTCACCAGACGTATGCTCTCATCTCACTTTTATGTGTGCTTTTATGCATGTTGTTTATGTGCAACGTAATGTGGCTGTGTGCTTCTGCAGGTAGTTGGGCATCCTGCTCTTTCTGACCTTAACATTGGTGCATCAGGTAATCAGCTGACTGCTGGAGAATGCATTTTTCTGAGTGTGGAGCTGTTCACCACTATAAACCACCTCAGCCTCACACTAAATCCCAAGTATGACTATAAGAACAGTAATAGCAGTAAAGGAAACATTAAGAGCTGCAGTGATGGGAACATTAAGGATCATTTACATAACAACAGCACCACAGATACTTATGAAGCTGGAAATCATGCAAGAAAAATCTGTCACTACAAAAACAGCAGTAATCACAACTGTAACTACAATAATCATGGCAACATTACCTCTGATCACCATCGCAGTGGACAGCACGGGAACATCTGTCACCTCCACACCTCCAATCAGTCCAGCTGCTGTTTGCATCGCCACCTTCACTGTCACTTCCCCACCACAGCAGGAGGGTATCACCTCACAGCGTCTGTTGTTTCCAGTTCCAAGCCTTGGTCGGTGCTGCTTTCTGCTGTCCTGCCTCAAGCCTTGATGGTGTTTGAAAGTATCTGTGCCCTGAGGCCTTCTGGGAGATGCATGTCAGTAGTTCCAACACATGCAAATTTCAGGCTGGAGGTTGTCAGCCATACCAGGCACATGGGTTCAACAGTGGTATGGACTTTTAGTCTGGATAATGCTGTTGTGATGAACAGGACAACTGAGGAATGGAGCATAAATTTGTCTCTTCCAAAAGCGGGGTGTTATAATGTCACAGTTAAGGCCATAAACCCAATCAGCTGGGCCTCATTTCAAACACACCTTCTGGTTCAAGATCCAGTCGGAGAGCTGGTGTTAAACACTCCCAGTGTAATAACAGCAAATCAAAAACAACCATTGTTATTTAGCATCACATCAGGGTCAAACATGACTGTCTCTGTGCTAGTGAACGCAACACTGTTGTATAGAAACAGCAGCTACGCTACAGGAGAAGAGGCAGTGGTGGTTTTGCTTTTCAACCACACTGGGACAGTTGCAGTTGAACTTCGAGCTGAGAATCAAGTGTCTTCTCAGAACAAAAGCGTGATAGTGAGTGTTGAGGGGAACAGGAAGCCTTCACCACAAGTCAGAGTTAACCCAAACTGGCAGCCACCAAACAATCAAAGTCCTGTTCACAAGGGCAACAATGGTAAGAAATTATTTTTAACTAAAGCAATGGAAAAACAACCGAATATTAAATAAGCAGTTTTTGAAAAGAGTTCATATTTGCACAGCAATATTCTTTATCTCTTTGTGAAGTATTTACATTTCTGTGGCATGTAGAAAACATGTAGATCATGTGACATCTGTTTTGCCTCCTAGCAGTGAGGATTTATGCAGCAAAGCAAGCTTATCCCACAAACACAAATATAACTTTCATAGCTGTGGCTGATGTACCAGAACCTGTAGAGTTCATTTGGCACTTTGGAGACTCCAAATCAGCCAGAACCACATCAAGGACGGTCATCAAAAGATACAACAGACCTGGCAGGTACAAAATATATGGAATACAATGTCTTTTTGAATGTTTGTAAATGTGAGTGCATGTGAATGTGACATTCAAATGTTGTTTTTCTTGAAGCTAGTCATTAAATATGAATGTTGGAAGTGGCTCTTCCTCACCAGCATTTATTTATTCAAACAGATTGTGTATATACATTAACCAGAATACAGCACAATTAAAATCTGCCTGTCTTCAATGTAGGTTTGATGTACTTGTGGCCATGTCTGATGGTCAGATACCCATCACCTCTGAAGTGTTCCCAGTGGTTGTCCAGAGAGTAGTGAGACTCAACAGGCTCGTCCACCAGGCCTCAGTCCTGCAGAACCAGACTGTGAGAGTGAGCTGCCGGGTCAGTGTGGGGACCAACCTCACATTTCTCTGGAGCTTTGGAGACGGATCATACAGGATGGGACAGAGCACAGAACAGCATGTCTTCCACAGGTAACCCAGAGAGTTAATTTAGCAGTTACTCGGGTAAATTTACATTTAGGTAATGCTCTTAGTTATTTTTGAGGACCTGTTTTATAAAAATGAAAAAACACACAATACTGAATTCCCCGTCTTGCAAATTCTTATTTAATGAACAAAAATAATGTTCAGTTCAAAATGAGTTTCTCTTGCTCTTTATTTCAAATGTTGTGTTTTTGATGTTTCTGCATGTGCACATTAGTGTATGTGTTACTCTCTGCAGAACAGGAGAGTTCAGAGTTGAAGTGACTGTGTGGAACCTGGTCAGTTCTGCCTCTCTGAGCAGTTACATCTTTGTTGTAGACCGGCCTTGTCAGCCTCCACCAGTCAAAAACATGGGGCCTCTGCAGCTGCAGGTACAGTCCACTACTAGCAAGGCTGCTAGCTCGGCCTCAGCAAGTAGAGCACAGCTACAAAAATATTCTCCTCTCCTCTAGGTGCGGAGATACGAGGTTATTCACCTGGGAGTTACCTATGAGCGTGACATTGACTGTGACATAACAGGAGGCCTTTACTACACCTGGACCCTGTTTGACTCTGCACACCAGCCCTTCCCTTTGCCTCTCACAGACATGCACAGACAGAGTCTCACACTGCAGAGCCATCTCCTGCACTATGATACCTACACTGCAATAGCCAGGGTAAGTAGCTGAAAAAGGTCACGCATGGAGAAGCCAGAACAATATACTGTATCACTTTTTAATAACCTGGATCTTTAAAGTGAGAACTGGGACTCTCTACATGCCACACTATAAAAGAAGCCATGTATTTAAAAAGAGCTGAGGTCAAAGAACTGGGTGACTATGGTTTGACTGCATAACTGTCATTCCTTCGCAGGTTCAGGTCACTGGCAGCGTGGTGTACAGCAACTACAGTGTAAGAATCAAGGTGATGCCGAGCTCTCCTGTGGCTTTTATCCAGGGTGGCACCAACGTCTTCATTAACAACAGAAACACTACTCTAGTAACCCTGGACGGGCAGAGATCTTATGACCCTGACTTCCCCTTGACCACACTCAGGTAGAAACTGTGAACTGTAGTGAAACTTTTACTGGACATTTAACCAGTGGCAGGTTTAAAGGGACAGATTCAAATATTGAAGGTCCATTTGTCCAATTAGTAAAATTCAAACTTAAAGACATGGTTTGTTGCAATAATAATCAGTATATTATTGATAGTTACACTGTTATCAGTGTAATAAATGAATAGCAAAATAACTTTAAATATTCTAATATGAAACTGTATTAATTAATAGTTGCTACAGCCATGGCAAGACTGTGAGAGAAAGGGTCCCTGGCACAATAACCTTCTGACAGCAGGGCACCAGATGTCAGGGGACCTGTGCCACCCTTCTGGTCGCACCCATACATTCAACTCCAGTGAATAACTTGTTTGTGTTTAGCAGGGCAGCAGATGTCAGGGGACCTGTGCCACACTTCTGGTCGCACCAATACATCCAACTCCAGTGAATAACTTGTTTGTGTTTGTTCATTTCTGAGAAGATTTGATCAATGTTTGTTTGGAAATTAACATATTTTAAAATTTTCTCTTTACAGCTACAGCTGGACATGCAAGCCAGTCAGTTCAATCATCAGCTCCTGTTTCAACCAATATGTTCCCACATCCTCCCCTGTGCTCACATTTCCTGTCAGTTTCTTAAAACACAACTTTGACCAATTCCAGGTTGTGCTTACTGTCTACAGCAGAGAGCATTCAGCTTCATCAGAGACCTTCCTCACAGTAATGCCACATACACTTGGGTGAGAGTTATAAATATTCAGTGTTACACAACAGATAATCAAACTGGCAAACCTATGCCATCCAAAGATCCAGAGACTACATTCATAACCCATAATATCACAATTATCACTTTTTTCACATTTGATTGCAAAATGAAAACAACTAACAAATGATGTTTTTAAAATAGTGAATCATACCAAATGCTTCATAACACAGTCAGAGAAATGAATGCAAATATCATGTGGATTGCATTACATAAAATAAAACTAATTTGGCCAATATCACTTATAAAGCACCAGAAAACTGTTAGTGTCACAATCTGACTCTGGCAGAGGTCGCCAATGAGATTCTGGGGGTGTCTGATGCCACCCCTGGCCACCTCCTTGGCTCTGCCCATGCTGTCAAAAACAGAACAGTTAAGGTTAGGATTGCTTATCCTGAACTGACTATGCTCACCATTAAAGAGTACACTTTGATGCACCATGACTTTAAACTTTAAAATGCACCTAAATATTTCCAACACAGGAAAGTGTCACTTTATTGCCATCACTGCCATGGAGACCAGGTGAACTGGGATCAGTCGTTCTCTGTCAGTGTTTCATGTGAAGACTGTAACATTTCCCCTGAACAAATCCAATACACCTGGCATCTGTACCTGGTTAATGCCTCCACCCAGCCTGTCATAGAAGGTACACTAAAGCCGTGTTGATCCAGTTGACAAGTGGGCTTAGCTATTGCAGTTTTACTGTAATTAAGTGATTGTGATTACCCAAGTAATAATAAATTACAAGTTCTTAGTTTGAGTCTATTCTGTTCCAGTCCCATTTTGTCATGCAGTGGATCGCAGTGCTCCTTCCACAATCATCCAGGGTCCCGTTACTTCCCTTCAGACTCCTGGAGCTTTCACCCTGCATCCATCTCCCACAGATACTTCACACTACACCCATATTATCCATGCCTCAGCTCCTGTCCTCCCGACTGAGGTCACCTCTAAAACTACAGCCAGCAAGCAGAATCTGGACCTGACTGACAATGGGATCTCATCAAACAAGAGCAGAAACATGTCCAACAAAGCTGGTGGGCTATTAAATGTACTGTAGTTTGTGAGAGTATAGTTGTAGTATTCAAGTAGAGAATACTACACAAAATTTGACTTCTCCATTTTCCTTCCTGTACAGGTTTGTCATAGTCCTTGACAGTTTCAGCTCCAGTGATATCGGAATCAGAGTAGCTATGTTTATAATGTCAATTATTTCATTCTGCTTGTTAGTTGTTGTAAATCAGTAGAGCTTAAATTGCAGAAAATGTTCAAAACAATCCAAAGGCATTTGAGTGCTTGACATCCTTAGAGAAACTAACAAGAGGTAATAATGTGTAAGGACATGGTTACAGATAAATAAACAGTTTATGAATAATTTAATGGTTTATCCTCCTCATGTCCAGGCGAGGAATCATTTTATCATCCTCTGGGAGAGTTTGACCCTCCAGAGAACCACTCTACAAGTGAAAACCCACTGCACGCCCTTGACATCCTATTTTCAGACAAGTCTGACCAAAGTGAAGCTATCGGTGAATTCCCAGTTGATTTTGACTCATCTGCTGACTGGGAAATTTCTTTTCCTGTCCTGGAAAGCGATGACATCAGACATCAACTAGGTGAGAAAAAAAGAACTTAAAACGGAAACAGTGTGTACAGTTCGCCTTAACAAGTGCAACAACACAAACCCAGTGAGAGTTAGCTGCCATTCAGAGAGTCTTGAGAGGAGGTCTCACCCACAAGAGAAAACGTCAGTGTCGTCGCACTATAGATGTGTAGGGTCCTTAAACCTGCATTAAGCCACATGTTTGCCAATTAAGGCAGCAGAAACAAGCTCTAAACACAACACTGACATATAGATTTGACAAAGCAAACTTTTTTAAACACATCAAATACAGCTATAGACAATATCTTGCATTTGGAGTCACGTATCTGGTCACATTAGGAATCTAAGTCCAACGGTCACCCTCCTTTTAGCTGTGTTTTGGTCTCCACCAACTCCTGAGACAAATATCTGGCTCTTTAGCTGCTAAATGTTCTCCAGCTAGGCATTATTAGCATAACGTAGCTAATGATAGACTGACCCAAAGCAGAAACATTGTGGGCTGTAAAATTAAAATGAACTTAAAGGTGTGTAGCTGTACTGTGTATTAAAGATGTCTCTAATTCTGATTCAGATTACGATGTTCCCTTGACAAGAGCAGAAGAGGGAGACCCAGGGGTTTCAGCTGGAAGACCATCAGGTACAGTGATACATATCTTTGTTTACCACTGTCATTATTAGTGGGAGAGGTCATGTATTTACTCATGCATTTTACCAGGTGTGGATGGTGAGACCTTCAGTCTAGGAGATGACTCAGTGTTTGATCCATCAGTACACAAAGATGAGGGGAGTAATCTGGTGGATTCCAAGGCCTCTTCTGTAATCCAGGAGCCAACTTTGCTTGATTTACCTCGAGACCCAGTAGACATGGGCCTTTTTGAGTCCTACACCTACACAGGTACATTACTGAGGAAACTCACCTACACACATTTGTTCACCCTCTCACTCTCTAACTCACTCTACACTATATCGCCCTACCCTGATTCAGCTCTCTCTCTTCATCTTTCCAGGAATTTCCTCTCCCATGCTAAGCTTCAGACCTTTCAGTCTGAGGCCAGGAAGCAGATACATGTTGGAGGCCACTGCCAGTAAGTTTCTCAACAATAACTGATACTTTTGTTAAAATCATGTGACAGATTACCAAAAGCAAAAAATTCAAATCTTCTGTTTTAAATGTCCGACAGTGATGCAAAGTAGATGGAATGCTACAGTGGTGTTTACAGTAAACTTAATAATTCAAACATCAGTCCTATCATTTATAGAGATCTGGATTCTAATCTATTACCTGTTGCACTCAGAATCTCGTAATATTTTTCTGGGCCGGACTCAGCTATTCTTAAAAACCAAGCCTGCTCCAAAAGGCATGATGTGCCAGGTACAGCCAGTCAATGGGGTGGAGTTGTATACACATTTCAGCATCTTCTGCACCTCTGGAAAAGAGGTATCTCCTCTCTGACACACACACAGACACCCACATGCATGCACAGTGACCTAATGCTTCAGTTCCACTATTGAAACCTAATGAGCGGTACACCCTGTACTTCCCTTAACCATCACCAACACATAGGGATGGTTAGAGGTGTGTTTGTGCCAGGTCCTCTGTGTTTGGGCCATCTGCATAGGGGTGGTTAGAGGTGTGTTATGCCAGGTCCTCTGTGTTTGGGCCATCTCAAAATATTTCTAGTGCAAGAAGAAAGTTCCTTGAATGTCAAATCTCACAAGTCTGCATGTGTGTCCTGAAGGATTTACTGTACAAGTACAGCTTCAGTGTAGGAGGAAGACCCCCCAGGATGCTGTATCAGGGGAGAAACTTCCAGTACTACTTCAGGCTCCCTTCAGGCGACCCCAGCGATGATTATAAAGGTAACCACACATACTGTACATGGACAGAAGGTCCCTCAGATAGACACTGATTTATGACTATTGAAGTACACAAAAATACATTATTGTGACATTTTATAGCAGACATTTTCTTTTGATTATTTAAGCAAAATTATTATTATTTGTTGATTTTATAGTAACTATTTATACTGAAGTCAGAAGCGGCACATATGGGACAGCCACTAAACCATGTCCTGTCACTGTCCGAGTCCAACCAAGCTTCGTCAGAGAGTCTCTGTCTTCCCATTGGGATCCTGATCTGGAGCTGTAAGGATCACACTCGCCATGTCCTCACATCACATGTTCCTGTTTCAGGGTTTTATTGTAGGTCTATCTCACTATGTGACCCACTGTATTTGCAAACCATACTGGACTATTGCAGTAATATATTGTGATTGCCATCTTTTAGTTTTTGTTCAGAAAAACACTCTGGTATTATTTAAGCTCTCATCATTTACACTTTTTAATAATATATTTTTTATCAAGTGTTTATAAGTTGTGACTGAGGCTTTCTGATTACAAATAACATATTTTTTATGTGGGATATGCCCTTGGGATAACTTCTGCGCTGCCATAATGCCTGCAGTCGTTATTGATTAATGGCGTTTGGTGTAGATGCTGGGCAGCTTTTCTTCTGTAGATTTAAATGATCACATCGATTAGAGTGATTCTTCTGTTGACTGAAATCATTAAATGAAAAGACAAAGGTTGCTGGAGAATATCTACATAACACCAGCTCAAAAATCTGCTCTTTAGAACAGCTGAGAAACCATAAAATGATGTAAAAACATTAATAAACTGGTTAACCTTCAGAGCAAGTCAAACAACACTACAGATCTGCTACACTGTGAAATCCTCTGTATACAGTATGTTGTTGATGCGTTATGTCTTTCTCCCCAGGTCAGAGTCAGGTCTGAGGAACCTGTCGGTTCTGGTGCAGACTGGGAACAGTCTGGAGATTCGTAATTACATCAGTCTCCTGTCCAGCATTCTGAACAAACTCAGCCTGGACCCCAAGGCCAACACACATGCACAGAGACACATACGCAGTGCGCTCATTTGCACAGTGTGTGAACTCAAGAGCAGTGAACAGGTGCACATGTATTGACCTAGACTGTTTCCAAGATTACCGCTGTCACCTTCTTTTGCAGTATTATAATAATATGTAATTCATACAGCAATCAATGGTGGACGGCATCCTCACTCTTAGAGACCTTCTACAGACTGCAGGTCAGGTAGGTGGGTGGTTGTCTGCTTTCATGGGATCCTTCAGGGACAGACATTGATAGATGCAGCTTGAAAAGTGAAAATTGTTTCTCAATCTTCTGTACTTTATAGGTATCATTAGAGAGTGCAAGGCGAGTGACAGCTCATGTTCAGGCCATCTCAGACCAGTTCCTGGAGTCCAGTACTCCAGTCCAGTACCATCTGGACCACGAGACACTGGACACCCTGATCACCTTGCTCTCCTACATCCTGCAGGCCACTGCCACTAGTCATGACTTCACACTGGAAACGCCCCACAGTGTTTCTATTATACAAGCATTAGACTCACCTACTGGTCAAAACTTAAGAAACACCACTGCTGCTCCTGATGCTTATGTACCAGACTCGTCCAGTGGTGCTCATATCAAACAGGGAGGACTAAGCTCAGAAAAGCAGGTGGTGCAGCTTGTAGCTGATCTTCTGCAGACTGCCTCAGACCTGATGCTGGTGAGACCAAACAGTGGTTTGTTCTTGTGCATGTAACCATGTCTCATCACTTCCTTTTTGTGTACCTCCATTTATCTCTCTAATGGTATCAGCTGTCATTTTTCAGAAATACCTCTTGTTCCACAACGCTCAGGAGCACCGAGTCAGCACTGGTCTCATTACTCTGTTTGCCACATACCAGAACCAAAACTCAACAGTCATCAGTAGTGGCTCAACCACCTATCACATCCCTGTTTCTCTGATCCAGCAGCTGTTTGTTCATAGCAGAGAGCATGAGAGTGTGCAGCAGCTGTGTGTGCTCAGTGTGCTGACTGAGCTCACCCATAGCCCTTACCCCCAGGACCAGTATCCTGCACAGGTGAGAACAGCACAGCATATGGACATTCAGTGAAATAAAGGCAAATCATTTCTCTTACTTCCTCTGTTGATTTCCAGCTGCGTGGACCAGTGGTTGACCTGAGCATGCACAAGTGCAGCAGCAGAAGAAAGGTCCCTGTTCGCTCCCTCATCCAGCCCATCAATATTGAGCTACATTATCCACAAAGAAAGGTATGCTGGTATTTCTCTGAGTACTTTTATTGGATGCTAATACTTTCGTACATGTACATGAACATTTTGAATGCAGGACTTGGAACAGAGCATTATCTGAATGGGTTTTGGTATTTTGTTGTATAAGACCTCCGTGCATGAGTACGTCCTCTTCAGACACCAGGTCAACTACCACAGCTTCAACATTACCCAGGAGCACCTGCAGCAGGTCATCCAGTTGAGTGTGGCATTCACATCGCTGCCCAGCAAGTTGTTTCCCATCATGCTTCTCTTCAGGTATACTTGTAGTAATGTCTTGTTTTACAGCTTTTGTCTCTGACATCATAAGCATTTGACACATGAAAGTGTGTGACCAAAGGTTTCTGTCGTGGCAGGATGTTTGACAGGCCGACTCCCAGCGCGCACCATCTCCACAGGATTCACCACTGGGAGAGCAACACTACACGCATCACTCTGTCCCCATTTTATCTCAGAGGTGAGAACTTTCTAGGCTCCATTTCCCCCTTCCCCATGCTCTGAGCAACTTTGAGGTTAATGATCATTCTGTATAAAGTGTTGCCCACATCCCAAGTAGTTTTAATGCAATAAATGTCTAGTTACCAATTGAAGCTCAAAGAACCTATGTTAGAGTGTAAGATAATTTTTTATTAAAACCTTTGGAATGCTCAGTCATTGCATTTATTTTTCTTGATGTTAGTATGCCTGTAGTTCTAGAAAGAAACTAATTTGTCATTGTTCTGCACAGACATTTGTTATATAATAAACTAGGCTCTACTAATGTGCAAACCACTGGTAAAAAATGTTATACACTATTATTTGCAGTTGTCCGTTGCATAATTAGCAGAAATGTAAGCAATAATTAAAAAAATAGGTAATAGCATTAGTATTTAATGGTTATATTAATATGGGCATGTGCATATTATGAGCCAATGACATGCATTTGTATTTTTAGTTTACAATGCCTGTACCTTGATGGGCCTTTCTGCAAATATACAAAACACAAAAAGAGCAAAAAACACAAACAGTGGCACAATATACCATAAAACTCTAATCAGTTAATAACCATGAGTTTTCATAACATACATTGACTAATCCGTGTTAATAATCCAAATTTAAAAATCTATTTGCTAAGTTTTAGAAAAAGACAAGGATGAGACTGAAAATGTTTTAATCACATCAGAGATCTGAAAGGTATTACACTTCCCAAGTTATAGAGACAGTGTTTGTTCAGGGTAATAAGTGTTAGACTATTTACTTGCTTGGTATTTCACCTGTACTTTTAAGAAATATAAAAAAGTAACTCATCAAATTCATATACTTTCTAGCTGCAGGGGTTGGTCACCTGGCCCTGCTGAGCGCTGCCAAAGCAACCAGACAGAAGCACCTGAGTGAACAGATGCACTACAGTCTCACAGTTTACAGCAGCCTGTGTTTGTCCTGGGACAGCCACCAGGGGGCCTGGACACCTCACGGCTGCAACACGCAGGAAGCACACACAGCCGATTCAGTCAACTGCAGGTAAGTGGATGTAAGCGCATACTGTATGACCTGCACAGGAGTAAGCACACTCTCACATGAGATGCAAGAAATAAATAGACATAGTCATGAATCACATGCTTGTTGGCATGTGCTGTGTGTCGTAGTTGTTACCGGCTGAGACCCCTGACTGTGGTGCAGCACCAGATCCAGAGCAACCATGACACAGCTGATCTGGACTCCATAAGGTGACCTCATGCTCCTGAGAGCACAGAAAATCTTTTATATTAACTGTAGCAGTAATGCGGACCTTTCCTTTCTCTGTCTCAGTCTTCAAACAGTCTTGAAACGTAAAAAGAAAAAGTGTCTAATTAAAAATTGTGTTTTAATTATTTTCTGCAGACATGAAGTGAGAAGTAAATGTTTCCCTTACTAAACCTATTTGCTCAATTGTGTCTTTTTAAAATAACAGTGTTAAAAAAAATTGTAGTGTTAACATTCTCCTGTACATTACATCTGCCACACCAGTGATCTGACAGTGCTGGCTGTGCTGGTGTCGTGTGTGTGCCTGTACATCCTCGGTTTGGTGGTGTGTAAGAGGGCTGATATAGTCTCTGAACAGAATCGAAGGGTCCACTATCTTACTGACAACTCTCCATGTGACCCATATCTCTATGCTGCTACCATCCACACCGGTCTCTGCTCTGCAGCCTACATGAGTGCAAAGGTAATGTTGTTTATTGTTGCTGTAAAACAGACATATTCTCAGCAGTGATGCTTTCAGCTGAACATAAAATCTGATCAATCATTTAGAAACTGACATGCTCTTCTTAAATAACTGATCCTGATTAGTCGTGATCATAAGGCGCTCTATATGGATATTGTTATTTTGATTAGTACTATGATACCAGGATATTCTTACAGTGACATCTGGGTTAAGTGTTTGCCTCTTTTCATGAAGCAGTGGTAAAGTCCACTGTATGTCTGATAGAGTTGCTCTATATTGGAGCAGTAAATATGGCACCCCCTTTACATTCAATAACACTAGAATGTAGTTTGTTGTGAAACTGTGTAGCAATTCATATTGTTGTTGGAGACTTTCACACCCATAACCAGACAAAAATACATTCATATGTGCTGACCAATGTGGATGTCAGAATAAACTTCAGTGACAATGTGGTGGATCTATGATTTTTTTTTTCTCTGTGAAGTCAGTTGTAAAAAAAACCTGCCAGTTACATAAAGCTTTAACATTACATTATTAAAATATGTGCACCAATTCATATAAATATGTTGTATTAAAGGTGCAGTGTATGAGCTTTACTGACATCTAGTGGTGATATCGCAGACTGCAATGTTCCAAGTTTCCATATATTGTGTTACACAACCGTTTCACAGTGACTACCATAAGTGTTAGGACAAATCATGCGGCTGACTTGACCAAGCATCCAGGCCACACCAAACTTTATCCTTGTCTTTGGCCGTTGCCTATCCTGAGTCTTCGACGATGAGGATTCACGCCATCTTCCTTTTTCTTGTGTTAAAGTATAGCTTTGATCCTCCAATTCTTCAAATTACAGTTATTCAACTCACAACAACGCTTCCTCTTGTTTATATGTTACTAGTTCTTCATCTTCCAAATATCTCCAAATCCAAGATGCTACATTCACGCTCTAGAGCCAGTGTGCAGTTTGTTTAAAAAAAAAAATGATAGCGGCCGGGACCCACACAAATATAGATATAAAAGGCTAATTCTAAGTAAAAGAAAAGGCAATGGTTCTTCTTTTTTGGTGATTATGCATGAATGAAAACCAGAATTATGCATATTACAGCCTAGTTCTGCTAATAAATCCTTCAAATCTTACACACTGCACCCTTAGTTTTTGCACAAGAAAAGGTTAATTATGAACCATAAGTCCTAAAGATGTAAATACAGTTCACTCTAAAGCTTGAGCGCAAAGGAAAACTATCACAAATATCAATTCATTTTATATACAATGTAAATGTCTGTCTGCATTTTTCCCTCTACTAGTGACATCATTTCTATCAACTCTATAAAGATCTTTTTTTTTTTTTTACAGTAATGGTGGATCATGGGAACACTGAATAGTTCCAAAATTAGGGGCAGCACCAGAGTTAAATTGACTTGCCTGCTATCTTCTAAAGTAAGACATTGAAATCAATAGTAATAATTATACTTGTGACATTGTATGGCTTTCTCATACTGTCATGTTACTAAATTAAGTACGTAGCTAACTAGACAAATTAGTTGAGCCATCAACAACAACAAAACACAGAAACAGTTTGCAAGGCTGTAAAAGTCAACAAAAATAGCAACTGCTGATAAATCCCGCTATTCCCTACAGAAAACAATGGATCTTAATCAACAGTTTGGAAATATTTGAAACTACAAGAGTCAAGTGACCTGCTGCCATTGTTGACCACTCAGTGTCACAGCTCTTCTATCTTAACAGCTCTGGGGTGATGTTGGTCTGTCTATGCCAATCATGAACCTGAATCTTAAACTGAACCTTGGGTTCTTGTTCTCAGCATATAAAACAGGTCACTGATTAATGGCTATGTTCTTGTGGAAGTCAATACTAATGTGTGTGTGAGAAACTGTCTCTGCATTCTTACCAGGTTTGCATAGTGCTCTATGGTGAAAATGGGATTTCACTGACGAGAGAACTACAAGTCCCAGGATGCACTCTGTTCAGGAGGAACTCTCAAGATACCTTTTTATTCAGGTAATGTTACAGCAGGCTTCTGACTGGAGAGACTCTGGACAGATGATGTGTCCTGTTTTATACAAAGAAAAGCAGACACATGAGACCTTAGTTGTGTGTGCCATCTTAATTAGAGAGACAGATCTAATCTGTTCTTCTATTCATCATATGCATTAACAATAAACTCCATATACAAACTGCTCATACAGCCCATTCACAATAACATACATTCATTCATTTTCTACCGCTTAATTCACGGGTGGGGCCGGAGCCAATCCCGGCCAGCAATCGGGCGAAGGCGGGGTACACCCTGGACAGGTCGCCAATCCATCGCTAACACATCCCAGCTAACACATAGACGAACAACCACACATACACGCACGCACGCCTATGGGCAATTTAGAGACACCAATCAACCTAAGCTGCATGTCTTTGGTCAGTGGGAGGAAGCCGGAGCACCTGGAGAGAACCCATGCAAGCACGGGGAGAACATGCAAACTCCACACAGAAAGGTCCCAGGTGGGGCCCGAACCCGGAACCTTCTCGCTGTGAGGCAACGCTAACCACTGTGCCACCGTGCTGCCCTATAACATACATCATTGCATTTATCTCCCATGTTAACATACTGTAACTAAACATGCAGTTGCTGTGCATGCATCTGCTTTATACACATACCAGATTATGTTGTCAAATATACAAGTGCAATACGATTCACCCCTACTGTAATATGTGTGACTTTAGCTTTCAGCTTCAATAACTCTACTACTGCTTAAAGTTAGGGTTGGCAATTTTTTTATATAAATATATTGGTTGTCTACTTTCAAAATTGAGCTATCTCTTGCTGGTTTTTCCAGGACTGTCAAGAAGCTAGCAAAACATAGCGTTAGCATGTAGCTCAAGTTCGATGTAAAAATACATATAATCACATACCAACTCAACAATTATGACAATACATTGGTGGGTGTCACAGTAACATTGTCCAACTATTTCCTTAAACAAGATTTAAAAAATACGGTTTCAATGTTTAGTTTCCCAATTCAAAGTGTTTTATGTGTTACTGTAATAGTGCATAATGTAATGCATTAAGTTTTCAAAAATGACCAAGTTTCATTTGCTCATTCATAAATTTCTAGTTTAGTGTGATTTCTGTCTCTGACACCACAGTGCAGCAGACAGCCTGGGCCATGTGTGGGGGGTTCACATCTGGCATGACAACTCTGGACCTTCCCCAACCTGGTACATCAAACAAGTGGAAGTATCTGAGGTAAAGACTGCCTGTTTCGTGTTAGTGAATGTGTCTGTGCTTTGCCTAACATGATGGTTTGTTCATTTACATTAAATTCAGGTGAACAGAGGGCATGTGAAAGGACGTGCTTGGCTCTTTGTCGGTCAGTGCTGGTTGGCTGTGAACAAAGGTGATGGCCAGGTGGAGAGAATGCTGCGTGTTTGCACCCAGGGAATAGGCTTTGCTAAGGTAAAACATTCACATATACAGTGAGGAACAGAAGTATTTGAACTTAGCAATCATGGAAGGGTCTGACATTTACATTGTAGGTGCATTCCCACTCAGAGACAGAATTTAAAAAAAATTCAGGAAATCACATTGTATGATTTTTAAAGAATTTATTTGTCTTGCATTGCTGAACATAAGTATTTGAAC